TTTCTTCACAGGAACCTGTTGGATGGGGACAATGTTAGCATCTCACCACTGGAGGGGAGGGCCCCAAAGGCCAACACATCCTCGCTTAAGGAAGGCATCTTCAGCTAGGCCAGCGGTTCTCAACCTGTGGGTCGCGACCCCTTTGGCGGTCGAACGACCCTTTCACAGGGGTCGCCTAAGACCATCCTGCATATCAGATATTTACATGACGATTCATCACAGTAGCAACATTACAGTTATGAAGTAGCCACGAAAATAATTTTATGGTTGGGTCACAACATGAGGAACTGTATTTAAAGGGCCAGAAGGTTGAGAACCACTGAGCTAGGCCTTGCCGAAGCACGTGGTCCAAAGTCACCCCCAACCCCCCGCCTCTCTGCCACATCACCTCCTGATCTATTCGTATATGAATCCACCTCGATCATTTATTCGTTTACTTTATTATTGTCAGACTCTCTTCACAAGAATGTAAGTTCCACAAGGACAGCGCCTATCTGTTTACGTCATCACTGTATCCCCAGGGCCTAGAACAGTGCCTCATGCCATGAATAGGTTCAATATATGTGTGTTGGATAAATGAATGAATGAATGAATGCCAAAGACTCCTTTACACCCTGACAGGGACCACTCAACCTCAGTTAGATCATGGCGAACCTCCCCTACAGACTTCTGAATCCCTTAGTTGTGGGCAAATCTTTACCCCTGCAGGAGAAGCTGATTAGAAACAGCCCAAAGTCACTCTGAACCAACCAAATTTTATAATAATGTAGGAAAATTGACCCGGGCAACACCAATTCTGGAGAAAGAGGAGCTGTGCCTACCAAACACCTAGAGCAATGTCCTGGAGGAGCCTGGAGGAGGTACCCTGCCTGGGGGTGTGGGTGGCCTGGGAAAGAGAGTGGGAAAGATGCAGACCCAAGGCTTACAGCCTGCCATGGCCTGCAGCCTCCACTTCAGGTGGGAGGCGAGGAGAGAGGAGTGTTTGAGATCAAATGAAAGAGGATCTGGCACCCTCTGGCCCCCAACCCCCTACCTCACCTTCGAAAGAGATCTGGGGGAGCAGTGGGAAATCCCCCCTGAGTGATGACTCACTCAGCCTGCCTGGACCCAGTTTCCCCATTTGTGAAGCGAGGAGAGAGAGAAGAAGAAGGCACGATGACAAAAATGACTGGTTCTTTTCCCAAATGCACCTCATTGCCTCCTTCTAGTGTCCCGTTTGCACTGGCCACCTTATCCATCGTACATTCCCCCGAATAATCCTACTATTCCTCAAGGAATAGGAAGAACACTTTTGGGGACGATCGGGGTTAGGAATTATTTTTATTTTTAATTTTGGAAGGAGAAGGGGATATAATTTTTTTCAGTTTGGGGCTTCCACAAGTTTTTGTTTTATTCGGTAACATTCCTATCGTTCAGAATGTAAAAGGTACGAAATGATCAAGGCTTTCCCACCCTTTATGCCATCCAGCTAGTTCCCCTCCCTGAAAGCAATCATATTTCCAGTTTATGTGTGCCGTATGCCTACCCGAGCAAACACAGACACACACAGACATATGGACACACACACGGCACTTGGAACATGCCGTTCTCCCCCTGAGTGAACATCTGAAACCATTGATAAAAGAAGCGCTGGCACCTGAACATGAAGGGGAGCTGTCACCATGGA